TATCTACCCATAAGGCTCTGTAATATCCTTGCGATCCCTTCCTCTCTCCCTCCCTCCCTCCCTCCCTCCCTCAATGGCAGTTATTGGAAGTCTATTTTGGATAGTACCCCCTTATACTCTGTTGGCAATGACTGATACTCCCTTTGTTTCCCCTGTAAACCATGAATCCCCTTGTAATCCCCCTAGCCAATGAATTATGAATGGTTTCTGAATCAATCAATCAATCAATCAATCAACTTATGACCCACCCTCCCTGTGCTTCCTATTCACCGTCGCTCATGATCACTCCCTTGATACAAATTTCTTTTATTTCCCAGCCTTTCACTGCCTTAAAAATCAGAGATGGCAGCTCTAAATTTTCACCAAGAAAATACTGAGCACTCTACAGGCTAATGTCACATAAATGTGTTTGTCACAGGGCGTTATGAAGGCGGTAACTAGTTTTCACGTAGTAAAAAAAAAAAAAAAGATTCCCTGACAGAAAAAGGTCAACAAAAGAATTGAGATTCACATATATATTTCGTTATACTGAAAAGCGCGTATACGCTCGTGATCAATTGTCCAGCCGGCCATGTTTGGTGTTGAGTTGAAGTGGAGGGTAGTGAAAGGGGGGGGGGGTAGAGATGATATCCATTGCCCCACCCCTCCTCTCTCCTTCCTTTTGACTGTTACGCACCCACTTGGTAAATATTTCTTTCTCTTCCTTGCCATCCTTTGTTGTTTGAATCGAATATTGCAGTGTTAAGTTTCACTGTCGTCTGTGTTTTAGTGCTTCCCCCGGCTGGAAACGAATTTACTTGATAAGGCTTAAGTATATTACATTCGCACGGCCTGGATCATTTTCCGCTCTTCGCAGGCTCCGTGAGCGCACGTGAACGAACAATCATTGCAACCCATTTTGTACATTATCCCTCGGACATGGGCGAACATTGATCGGCCTTGTGTCTTCTTGAAAATTAGGCCTTAATACTCCTCTTGAATAGATGACCGATTATTAAGCACTTTTTACTTTTAGACAATATTATTTGAAATATGATTAACTTTCATATCAAATCTTCTTATTCTAGATGTGTGAAACAACGTCTTATAGCACATATGCTGACTCTGTGAACAAATTTGTAGTTGAAAGTGATGGAACAACCACCATAGTTTATAACAAAATTGAAACGGGTGGCAGGGAAAGGTATGCGTATTAAAAGATGTTATCGTAGTGAGCATTTTGAAAAAGGAAATCCTCGGGTTTCTGTGTTTTAGTCACGATTGTGTCTACCTTCAGAAATCTTTTGTATTCCAGAACAGTCACCATCAATCTTAAATGTGACAAAAACAAATATCCAGGGCAAATGGATGGTGTCACCGTAAAAGAAACAACGGTAAGTTTTGTAGCCTCCTCTTTTGAGATATTGTGCTCATCTTTCGACGTTCTACCTTTTTATCCTTTCTTCTTTGTGTCTTTCGTTTCTTTTTTATTCTCCCTTTGTATGTCTTTTTTGTTCCTTTTTTTTCATTGACTCCTATTCATTCTTTCCGTGGTTTACTCAAGATACGATTCAACGTACGTTTTTAGTGGCATCATCATGATCGTTTAATTGCTGTGTAAAATATAAGGTATTTCTTTTAACCCATTCTAATAGAGGGAATGTCAAAGAAACCGAAACGTTTACCAACCTTAGATTGCTTTTCAATTGAGAGCAGTGAAATCATAGCCAACTTTCGTAATCACTGCGCCCAATGGGAACATTAGAGAAAATTTGGAGAAGGCGGGGAAATCAGTCAGAAAGCGTGAAGAGACAAAACCAATGTAATCCTGAATAACTTTCGACATTTGATTGAAAATTGCTCAGTGGGTTAGTCGGTTAAGTATTGCACCTTAAGCCTATCAAGGATTTAAGGGCTTTACGGCTTTTAGGCTTTTAAGGGTTTAAAGCCCTAATGTTCGGTTAAGAAAATGTTGTTAGTCGCTCATATTCGTCTTTCCGTGGTAAGATCGTGCAAAGCCAAATTGATAGACGCACTGCGTGGAGAGGCATAATTCACATATTTACCTTGTTGTATAGTTTAACTTCCCTTTAATCTATGCTTGTGAATGTCTTATTCTTTTTTTTTTTTACAAGGGGCGAGAGCAATATTTGATACTTTCACGAAAAATTAATAAGAAAATGAATTACGATACACTTAGCTCGACGTAAAGTTTATTCCGATTTTTTATTTGCCCATTTTCTTCTTACTTTTCTATTTGTCGTTTCTTTCTTTTTTCCTTGTATCATCTTTTATCCCGTATATACCTACCTTCCTTTTTTTTTTTCTTGCGATTGTTTGATTAAGAAAAGTCATTGGAGTTGTTTAATGAGATGTCATTTAGCGCTTTGTGCGATGCAGTATGTTTCCTATTTCATATTTTTAGACTTATTTTCCTGACCAAATGAATTGATCGAGCTCGGTTGCCCAGATACCAAATGTGATCATTTGATCGTTGCGACTTAAGCTGTATTATTATTCCTAGTCTGCGAGTCTAACGTCCAAGTGCGCTTGTGAGGATAGCTGTCGTCATCCTGATTTTAACAGAAATACCGGAAATACTGGGCTCAGCACTGGAAGTATCCTGTTGATAGTGTAAGTACAAACTACTATTGATCCTAATAATGTAGCTTACATTTTTGAAAATTAAGTTCTCAAGGTTAGGCAGCAATGCAGCAGTTCATATACCAGGCTTGAAGTGTCCGACGCTCGATTGAAACCGTGCATGCTGATTATACACCTAAAGAAATCAATAAATTTCAATCTATAAAACATAAACCGCTGAGCAGAGGCGTCTGCATATGACTTTGAGATTTTTTTGCTATGTTAAAGCATGCTCCACTTATGAACGTTGCCATGGTGAGAATAATATTCACAACAGTAGCTTCGTCGTACGAGATTTACCTTGCTAAACAACTCCAGCTATGAATCTTTAACCGCAATTCGGTGATGTACGCGTGCTAATTAAGCTGGTTACGGGATGAATTTTGTAACCTCAAATGAAGACCCCGTGGGCTTTGGTTAAAACACGAGTACTCAAAGAAAACCAAATAATTATTTTAAGGGAGGTTGGGGATGTGTAAGTTAGAAAATCCCCGAGAGGTGAGTTTGAAGTTTATACGTCAAGGAATTCCAAGAAAGTTCTATATCCTGCACATTTTCTTTTTTTTTTCTCTTAAAGGTTTTTTCCATTACTTCTAGTCTATTTCATGGCTGGTTTATTATATAACAAATACCACAAGGGTGTTAACAGCTTTCCTGAAATGATCCCTAATCATTCTTTTTGGGGTGAATTTCCATTGTTGGTCAAGGTGAGTCTGTTATATGGTAATTAAAGTCGTTATGGAACGTATATCGCAACTTTTTAGAATTTTATATTTGTTTGTTTGCTTTTCTTTCTGAGGCTCTCTCTGGATATAGACATTTTGCATTTTTCTCTTTTATATTCAAAAAAAGGAGAAAGTTATCAAAGTAATCCTTCTCTCCCTGCTTTTACAGGATGGCTGTGTTTTCACTTTTGAAAGAATAACTCGCTGTTGTCAACGTTTGTTCTTGGTATCTAAAAGGGACTCCTATGAGGAAATTTAGGAATATGATTTTTCACTTTTTTTAAACATAAGTACTTAGTGACAAAAATGATCGTTAAAAGCTAAAAGAAATGACATATTA